AAAAATATTCACATAATCATCTCTGCAATTCTGATTTTCATGCATATAATACAAGAAATGGTAATTTTATTAGGTTGAAAAAACATTCAACTAATTTATATGAGAACAGTCCATCGTACGTAGGGGCAAAGCTTTTTAATAATCTTTCCGGCTGCATAAAAAGGTTAAATGTAGAGAAGAAATTCAAACAAACCCTGAATGAGTTCGTTTTTGTGTGACACTTCTATATATTAATTTGTTATAGCCCACGTTTTCGTGACAATTTTTATAAATGTTTACATATCTTATAGGTTTTTTTGCTATACAAAAAAATGAGCCAGACAAATATTTTTCGAATAACTTTTACACTAGGTAAAGCTTCAATAAATATCATTTTTTGAACTCCCAAGTAGATTATTAGATGACTCTGATATGAATCCACCAATCATGAAAGTTTCGTAAGGTGTATTACCTTTTGTCAAAGTTATTGTTACTTTTGATGCTACACCCTTATTATTTGGAGAAAGATCTAACTGTTCTTAAGAAGAAATGTGATTTCAGGTGTTACTGAAGTAAAAATAATTTCAAAAAGGTGCTTCCCTGAAACAAAAATCGAGATGATCCTAAACAAACCCACTATATTGCAGAAGCGAAATACCTTGTACGTATATACGAGAATATTACACAGTTGTATAGATGGTTTATGAAGATTACACGAGTTTCATATCCGGAAAGTAGCAGCTGATCCCAACCGAGTTATTAATAAACCAACATGGCACGTATGAAGGAAATCGGGACGGTTCAGTTTATCCTCCAAGATATACCTACTCACCGAGTTAACAGAGATTATCCAAATGCAGAGAACAAGCGAATCGAAACAATCATTTTTAATATCAACACAACTGCTACTCACAAAACTCGTTTAGTTACTAGCAAACAACAAACACTGGTCCACCGACTACCTAATATCAATTTCAAGGCCATTCATTAAGACCGACTATGCACGACGAAAAAATTATTGTATACACGCTCTGTTAATTGATTGAGCGATGGATTTCTTTTGTTGGATTATCATCATTCCACATAATTCGAAAATAATGACAGCGTACGCAGCGCCCTCTAGATGTTACATGAAAATCAATATGGAATTATGATTTCCCACGTCAAAAAACCCCGGGTGTCGAATTTCGTGCAAATAGCTTATTTTTTGCAAGAGTTATTTTCAAAAAGCGAACCAAAAAATTCAATTCCAACACCCCGTACTCCGAAACTAAGCATTTTCGGATACAAGTTCATATAGACTGTTTTCCTTAAAATTGTCTCAGGAATACGTCACTTGAATATTTCAACGTATTTATGTTACACCCTGTACATATAGACATCATTACATCATAAATTGCGAAAGTTTTTGTTACTCCCTGCTAAAACCATAAAAACAATATGTTACTGAAGTAATTTTATTTGTATCACACATATTCACAATAATATTATCCTAATTGAACGGACCCGTTAAAAACAACAGGTTCTTCTTGTAGTTCATCGTCCTTATATTCGCAACATTTGGATGAAAAAACGTGCCCGAAAAATGTTCTGTAATCTTTATCAAAGTTGTACAATATTATAAAAAAGTAAATGGGGTTCATTACTGCAAGAATTAGTCCCCCAATTAAAATAATCAAAGAAAATAACTGGTCATGCAACAGCAAATGCGAAAAAATAGCTAAAAGCAAAGGACATATTGACAAAAAATATGTGTTGACTAGATATAAGGGCATATTAGAAGTAACGGTTGAGGGTGCCAATCTTCTTCTCTTTACCAGATGAACAATATTCATCGCTATCATAAAAACAATGAATTTAAGATATGAAATGAGCAAGAATACTTCTGAAGTTATGAGTCGGTATTCAAAACATGAACTAACATGAACACCTGTCGAAATAATAACAGGTACATAAATGGCCACTAGAATATAGTTGAGGTAATTCACAAACTTTTCATATATGACAGTATGATACACTTTCAAGTACCAATTTATCAATAAAAGATCCACCAACAATAAATTCGCAAGTAAAATACAATATTGTGTTTGTTCCAAAGAACAAAAAAAGGTATACGCTGCAAAGTACGTCTCCCAGTCCGTTGATAGCCTCTGACTGATTGGAGAAGTTATCATAAAAAGATTGTTGACGATCGTCCAGTTCAACAGAATTATATTCGATTTGTCCAATCTCAGTCGTCTGTACTTTATGATGACGAAGGCGATAATTATATTACATGCAACGCATATCAATGACAGAATGGTGTACAACTCAATATATATTTTGACAGTTAGGTTTGTTTTCATAAGTAGATCTTCGTAGCCATCTGGAAAGGTCGTATTTTCGAAAGGGAATTCGGTAACATTAATGCTTGCAGGTTCTTCCATGTTCTGAAAACCAATAAAAAGGAATGGGAAAATAAAAAATGTAGACAGATGTTGATGAATGTAGAATGTAAGAGTGATGATTATGATGTAATTGTAATGAATTGATGGATGTACGTGATATGAAATCCTTACAGGACAAAACTGTAGTAACGTTAGTTACGAATAAAAGTGGTAAAAAACATAGAAAGTTAAATTCTCTTCTGTTCATTTTGATAAAACTTCAATATGTGTAATAGAACATAATGTTCAATGATCAAATAAAAAACAATGATAATTCTATAGGGAAGAGAATTCCAGTAGACAGTAAAGAAACTTCATAAGACTTGGGAGTTCCGTATTGAATTAATTATTGATTTGAAGAATGATATTTATATCAATTTGATGTATGACAATTGTTCGAAACATATATGATTTTTTAGCTTCAGTGAAGTTGAACTATCACGGGTTAATTTTTCACATATCACAATTGACTTCTTTGTCGAAAAATAAGAAATTTCATTTTTGAAACGAAAACTTGACCCCCTTTAAGTCAGAAACGAACGTGTAGCAGCAACTACTCCTCCTATTCCTTTCATTGGCATGGGGGAGTCGAGTGATACATCATCTGAAAGGTATTTTGTCCCTACATTACTTCTGCAATTTTTTTAGAAATTGGTTCTTTTGTTATTGAGAAATTGAATATTGAACGTTTCATTTAGGAAAAAACAGAAAATTCGCTGTCAATCATTTTAATGAGGAAATCAACAACAAATAATATACAGTTCCGTCGCTGTTTCAGTCGCAGACTCAGGACAGAGTTATCTACCTGCCTAGGAACTTATGCGACTGTATTTCAAGCGAAAATGTACGCTATTGAATTGTGTGCGGAGAGATTGGATAAATACAACCTCACTCACAAGTCAATAAAATATTTTCGGATAGTCAAGCGGCGTTGAAAGCTCTTGGCACCCACCGAGCAACGTCTAAATTGGTAGCAAACTGCCAAAAAAGACTCTCCTCGACAGGTAGACTAAACAAATTGTCTCTGGTCTGGATTCCTGGCCATACTGGCCTGGAAGACAATGAAGCTGCTGACTCTCTTGCAAAGGAGGGTGCTGCAAACGGCTGCAAGCGGCATCGCTTTGGCCTTTGCCGAACAAACACTTAACACCTGGATGGCAAGAAGGCCTTCTTACAGGTCACTGTCATTTGAATCATCACATGCAGAGACTTGGACTGTCGGAAGACAGTGTGTGTCACCTCTCTCTGGAAAATGATGAGACTGCAGAGCATATACCTTGTGCCTGCCCCGCTGGGGACCGAATCAGGTTTTTTGAGTTGGGCAGATCCGTACTCTCATCATCTGACCTGGAAGACCACTCACCATACAAACTAATCGGCTTCGTTAAGAAGCTGGGTTTATTTGGCCGAGTGTGAATAGGTGTGATCCACAATAAACCCTTATGGGTTGCGGTGGAGGGTCGAATTGACCTACTCACTTTAGACCTACCTACCTACCTACCTACCTACCTACTCTCGAAAGCGTTCCGTCAATTATTCAAGATGTCCGGAGTCAGCAAACGTCATTCTCGACCAATTATCTGTCGCAGGAAAGTTCACTTTCGACTTCAGGTGTCCCCAAAGAAAGAAGTCCATCGGTGTGAGATCAGGTGATCTAGCTGGCCACTCCACTGGATCCTTTTTGCCGATCCAACGCATTGGAAAACGTTCGTCCAAAAACTGTCTCACCCGAACATGAAAATGTGGGGGTGCACCGTCTTGCTGGAATGTTGTTTCATTGTCTAACAAATTGTAATCATTTTCTTAAATTTGTCTTGTACTACTAATTGATATCTATAGTCAGTTACATAATTCTCTTATGTGCGAATATATTGCCTTCACCTTCAACATACCCAGAAGTAATCCTGAGAAATTCAAAAGGAACTGGGCGACAGAGGAAAGAGTGAAAATCAAACATTAAGTTACTGGTAAAATTACTATGGATCGACCATCATGAAGAGATATTCTAGTGTATTGTACAGAGAATGGTACTTCAAAATAATCAGTTTCTATCTACACCTTGGAGAATTTTCCGAAAACCGTCAATATATCAAGATGAGTGCAGTGGAATGGCAAAGGGAGAATTATTGATGACAAACACGTTCACTTGGTATGACACGGTTCGAAGTCGATGACATAAAAAAATAAAATACGGCATTATCTTCAATCTGAATAGTGCTGTTTATAAGATCATCTGTGTAATGAACAATTTCAATCAACCGTGATAGGAAGATATAGCTTTGTTTTAGTTTCTACAAGTACATATAACTATGTAGAAGGGAAGTATGGTGACCATTCCTTGTACATTGTTACTTTGAATTATCCAACTCACAATTTTCTGTAACATGAAATGTTTTACATACTGAAGCATACCCAAAAATTGGTTTCCCTTTTTTTCCACAATCATTGATAGTATGTACTCATTCATATAGCAACGTGACTTGGGAGTAGGGCGTGAGTCAGGTCAAAAAGAAAGTGAACTGTGATAATTGTATTATGAGTCAACTTTCATCCACCTTCAGTACTGCTCAACTTTTGAATGTTCATTACGCTGTCATTTATTCCCTCGCCTACAATATTGTTGTGCGAGGTTGCTCCACTTTTACTCCCTGTGATATTCCTCAACAACTAAGCCAGTCAAGCTCATTCATGAGCTCGAACTCATTCTATGCAAATCATAAGATGAATAGATAAGTACGTACTATTCTGATCACTCTCGCTTCACAACTGTTTCAGCCTGCTGTGCATCGTCACTACCGGGCAGGCGGTCCATGATTGAAGACAAAATGTGAATAACCAAGAATATGTACCATGACGTCACTTTTACTTTTCCTCCCTAGTGAGGAAAAGTACGACTTTGCTCCCTACAATGAGGCCAGGAAATGTATACTTTGGATAGAGGTAGGCGGAAAAAGACTTTTTTTCACTACCAAAACTATTCACTAAAAAAACATAAAACATTACTTTTTGAAGGATTTGTTTTCAACAGAGTCAATTATTAATTGATTATTCGTCATTGACAGTAAAGTCTGAACAATTACTTTCAATATAAACTCCCGAAGATGTTCCATGTTGCTACTGATCAGAAACGTTAGATATTGCACAATTTTATTAGATGTTTCAATTTGTTTGTGACAAGATGGACAATTCAATATTTTATTAGAAATCTCAATTTTGTTATTTAAACTATCTTCTATATATGTTTCTACTACAATTAATACATAAATACTTATAAACAGTTTTTGCCAAAGATGCTCCTTGACTACAACTTTAAAATGAAAAGGATTGATCCTTATATCGAAACCAAGAGGAACGATCTCAGAACTAATAGCAACTGAGATAGAAGGACCCACTAATTTTGTCAATTTTTCAAAAAGAAGAAGATTAAACTGTCTTCTCCTTGAGAATGATCATTGGGTGATCGAAACACATGCCAAAGTGTTAAAATAACATTTTGTTATTGAAATAAAACACCAGTATTATACAGTGTGTCCGCAAAGTATAGAATAAATTCGATATTTCCAAAACCAAAGGTCGTTTTACAAAAACCTGAAACACGTCGTTTTTTAATTTTGACATGCTACATTTCACAATGAGATTTCATTGTACAGGGTGATCCATATTGATGTGATGACATCGCTATCGATATTTTTTTTAAATGCAACACCCTGTATTTGGTGTCAGTTTTAGATAATCCGTAACGAGCTGATTCCGAAAACGTATGATACTTGGGGTCTAACGGACAGGATTTGAAAGATTTACGCTTGAAAAATAAATTTTATTGATATGTACCTACCTAAAAAAAGTAGAAATTAAATAATTATTCTTTCTTCTAATAATTAATTTACCAATGGGAAAGTGATCCAGTACTAAATACATTTTGAATGTTCGAACTGTAGTCCTTGCTGTATTTGACAGTAACCTAAACGTTGAATAAATTCTTATTGAACCTTGTTTATGGTTTCTTGAGAAATATTTTTTATTTCTGTTCGAATTCTCTCTTTCAATTCTTGAATATTTGCTGGTTTTGTTTTATAAACAACATTCTTCAGATGGTCCCACATAAAGTAATCCAACGGATTTACGTCTGGCGACCTTGCTGGTCATTCAATATGTCTACGTCTACCAATCCATGGTATGCATTTGTATCATCATTTACAACTATACCAGTTTCTCGAATTTTTTTTTAATCTTACTTATTACTGACTGCGTTTTGCGTCTTCCTGGATATTTTTCATTAAATAAATTACACACTTCCATCTGAGTTCATGATCTGTCTCCATAGCCAATCATCATAAGTATTTCAATTCTTTGCTTTACACTTAAATTCATTACTACTTCAAATTAATTCGAAGCAATACTACAGAAAATTCACGAATCAATACAACAACTACTGTCCTATTTAACAGTCACTGAACGTCAATCGAAATAATAACATTTCACAATAACAAAAAAAAACTAGCCGGCTATTTTTTTGAAATTGATAAGAAATACTTGTTAGCAAAATTTCTTCAGAGAAGGTGTTCGAAATGTCAACCAGCTTCTCCTACATACTGGCGACACCTTTTCTGAACGTTTTTTGTCGAATTAATTATTCAATATGAGTGAGAGAAGCGAAAATTTGCATCTCTGCTCCTCCCAATTCATATCTAGAATTGGTAGAAAATTTGAAAATGATATATTTCAACCTTCCTCAGAAGTAAAAATCAATAGGCGTTACGTCCGGTGACTTGGCCGGCCAACGGTTGGGTCCTTGGTTCCATTTATCACCAAAATTTGCAGCCAAAAAATTGGTGATGATCACAGTCTTGTGAAGTGGAGCCCCATTTTGTTGAAAATATATTATTACGAGCTCCATTAGTGGCAATTTATCAACAAGGGGTTCAATATTTTGCCTTCAAATTTCTAAAATCTTCTGAAATGTGAGAGTGCCATTATAAATGAACGGGCCGATAATTTTACACTTGAAAACACCTACCCACACACTGAATCCAAATCTTCCTCGACTTCTCTGCTCCACAATTCAATGCGAATTTTGTTGTGCCCAAGTATAAGGATTGTTGCGGTTGAAAATGCCGGCACTGCTCACATAAGCCTCGTCTGGCCAAATACAATCTAACGGAAAATTACACACTTGGTTACAACTTTCCAGGAACCACTGGCACGAAACCATGTGGCATCCAACATTTCCTGGCCTTAGTTGATGAACTCTCTCTCCTGCTTCTGTATGGCTTGAATTTGTGTCTTCCCAAAACGGCTTTAAAAACGACTATTTCTTCCAACTTATCCTTATTTGATTCATACAAATTTGGTCTAATTTTCAAATTGACCACCATCAATTAGGTTGTGTGGCAATATTGTGAAAATGTTCCTGAAAGGTTGTCTTCTCTCTGGATACCTCTAGTGATACAAATCACTTGGTGTTTCTGCATTTTCTCCGGTTTGTATAAAACAGACTATCATATTCCATTTTTCATAATTCTCATACTTCATTGTGGATGTGTTTGAAAATTGACCAAAAACTACTAATTGAAGAGTGTCTTCACTGCTCAAATCAATATTTGACAGCTAACAGTGAAGATTTGCATTCTGTTTTATTTCCGCGTCATCCGAAGCTCACTTGATATAAGTGTGCGTTTCAAAGTCTACATAAAAGACCAAAAAGCTCTGTATTTCAAAGACGACTCTAGCAAAACCTAAACTTCTTTTTCCTTATTATGTCATCTACAAGGTTAAGGATGAACGAAATCTTGTCTTTCAGAAAGGACAAAAACCAAGACAAATATATCTCAGTTCCATATCACCAATATAGGAGGATCTTTGAAAAGATTTTCAAGAAATTTGGTATGAAGGTGGTTTTTAAAACAAGTCATACATTACAGAGCCTTTTGGGAAGTCCAAAAGACAAAGTCGAGAATTCGGAAAAGTCTGGAATTTACGAAATTGAATGTGAGGACTGCGATGCAAAATATCATGGACAGACAAAAAGATCTATTAAAGTAAGATATAAGGAACACATAGCACACTTAAAATATGGAAGACCTGAAAAATCAGCAGTCGCCTATCATATTTTGCAACAAAACCATTCCATAGA